ATATGATGATCGCTGACCTAAGCTAAATTCCTCGGCCCTTGATAGTTTGGGCATCGTCTTATAGGGAAGATATGTGCTAAAACTGTAAAACTTCGGCGAAAATTTATACCTGGTCATATCTGCCGAATATACGGTAATTAAAGTTTTGAATAAACTGAATCAACTAAATTTTCATATTAGATTATTTAGAAAACAATTATTATTCGAAAAATTGACCGTGTTTTAATTTAAAGCCTGTCATTGAGTTGTCTACGACTTTGAAAATCGCTGAATTTAAATCGGGCGAACACTCCAAAAATATCTGCAGAGAGCTGGTCTGTCTGGGATAATTCGGGCACCGTCCTCACCATCCTGCCCAACCCAGGATAGACATGGTTCAAAAGGCCCACTTACAACCCAAAGGCAGTAGGAGCCAAATGACAAAGTAAATTTACATTAATTATTTTTCGATTTATTCATTATATTAAAAATATTTTTTAACCCAAATTTTATCTTTAGTTTATAGAAACCTCAACATCAGGTTTACAATTGTATATGCTATCCTACAATGACAATACATGCTTAATTTGAATCGGTCTTTTAAAAAAAAAATTTTACATTAATTAATTTAGAAGTTTAGTGTTGTGTTGCAAATTATATAATAGGCCTATTTAATTATTTGTACAATTTAATTAAAATATTTCAAACTATGTATTAATTATTACTAATCCTTCTGTAAAATATTATTTTCTTTTGTGTACCAATGTGCAAAAATTTTGTTTACAATAGTCCTATTCTATTATTTGTATGATTAAATTTGAATTTTCCAAATTATGTAGTAGTAATTATTTATTTATTTATTTATAAAATGTTTTATCTTGTGTGCAACAATTTTCAAAGAAATTTTGTATTTCTTTTCATTGAAACCATGTCTTTATTTTCTTTTTGCAATTCACAATGAAGTGACATCCTAATACACTATACTTGAGATAACAAATTCATATTGACAGGAAAATTTAAAATGAAAAAAACAATTAAATAAATGGCTGTATAGAAAATATAGTGTCTTAGAATAGCACTTTATCATTCAAAAAGAAATTTTCTTTGTAAATTTATATTCTGGAAGAATTTTGGGTTCTAAAAGTATTCTGCATCCCTGGCTAGATGGCTGAAGTAATTAATGCATCAACATCCACTCTGGGGAACCTGGGATTGGATACAAATAGTCAAAAACTTTGGGGATTTTTTGGAAGTTATCTGTCCTGGATACATTGAGCCCCATGCCTTATCATTATTGTGGGCCCAACCAAACCATGGTGAGAAGGATTAACAGATTCAATTAGTGCCAACAAAGTAGAGAGCATCAAAAATCAAAAATGAAAGTTTACAAAATCATTAGAAACAATAAGAAAATTGTTCAATGTTACTTATTTAGACTTCATTCATAAAGTGTAATAATCTTACTATCCTATCATCTATACTAATTTGAAAGTGTCATTCTATGTCTTTGTTTCACAAGCATGATAAAGTGCATTCAATCAGACACTGGGCAGCTTTTTATCCTCTATTTGTTCTTTTTTAGTTGATATACATTTCGGGCCCACAATGCCCCTCCTCAGTCAACTTCTGTCCTGTATTACACATTAGCTAATTTTGAGTGATGTTCTAACATAGTTTATTAAAATTAGGTGTATGCATGATTATAGATTTTTCTTTTCCTTTCATTCTGTTGTGTTCTTTTAAGACAATTAAAAGATTGTAAATTATTAAAAGACTTTTTGTTCTTAACAAGAAGTCTTTTCATCAACAATACACATTTAGTTTAAACATTCCAGAAGGTTTCTTGTAGAAAGGAAACTTTCCCTTCTGCACAAAAAGAAAAACAAAGAACAGAAGAAATCAATAATGTAGTTTATTCAATTCCATGTACATGTAACACCAAAAAATATTATATAGGAGAGACTAAATGAAAAATGAAAGTTAGACTTAAGGAACATATAGCAAATTTAAAATACTGCAGGAACAACTCTGTGTTCTATGAACACTGTACACTATATAATTGTAACATAGACAAAAACAATATAAAAATTTCACAATAAGAAAAAGATGAATACAGTAGAAAATTTAAAGAGACTATAGAGATTCTGAATAATAAAAACAGTATAAACAAAAATCTTAACATCAAAATAAATGAGAACTGGTTACAAACATTGTAAAGAAACTGAACATAAAATTAAATAAGTATAAGCTTGGAGTTGGAAATATTAAACATTGTAATAAAAAGAACTATCATAAAAAAGAACTATTGTAAAAAAGATTATTATATTTTCATCATAAATGTATTTAAATTAGTTATGCATTACTAACAATGACCTGTGAAAATTGGGAAAGAAAAATATTGGCAGATGTTATTAAAAAATAATATCTCTTAATGACTTATAATTTTTTGATAATGAAAAATTTGGAAAAATCTAGCTATAGTTTAATCCTCTAAATAAATAGTAAATTAGGAATTTGNTTATAAATAATTTATATTCAAATTACACCAAGACATCGTCAACGTATCTTTTAAAATACATAATTTGTCTTGGTAATTTGGAAGAATAACCGAAAAATTGATGAGTTTATCAACATGATCAACAACAACGATGATGGTCTCATGCTGAAGATTGAAGAAAAATGTGCGTCACGGATACATTTTTTAGATGTTGACATTGAATTTAAAGAAGGACATTTGACCAGTAATGTGTACGTAAAACCGACGCATAGCACTCTGTACATTCCTTCTAACTCTAATGATCCCTACTAATACAAAATGGCTGCCTTCCGTGCCCTTATCCAAAGGGCTTTTCTCTATTGCAGTAATGTGTTGGATAGGCAAAAAGAAATTAATAGAATATTACATTTGATTCTGGTGAAACCGTGTTGTTGGTATTATGCTGTTTCACTGTAGACACACTAAGGCTACGTTACTCAACACTTGGCAGATTATTCACCACTTTATTCAGTTGGGACGCTTTTTACATTTCGCGTTTCGGGCATTGGCTCCTCTTCAGCCAACTAAACGTAAAAAATAATAAAACATGAGAAGAATATACAAAAAAACGCGAGTAAAACATTTCGTAGATAAAACGTTTTTTAAAAAATGGTTCTAAAAAACATACCACAGAGCACAAATCACGAGCGTACAGATGTCGTACAGGATGGACAGTTTCATATTCTATATATCACATGGAGAACAAACAGGGTCGAAGATAACAGCTTGACTACGGGGCTGTCAAATANTTTATTCAGTTGCGACGCTTTTTACATTTCGCGTTTCGGGCATTGGCCCCTCTTCAGCCAACTAAACGTAAAAAATAATAAAACATGAGAAGAATATACAAAAAAAACGCGAGTAAAACATCTTGTAGATAAAACGATTTTTAAAAAATGGTTCTAAAAAACATACCACAAAGCACAAATCACGAGCGTACAGATGTCGTACAGGATGGACAGTTTCATATTCTATATATCACATGGAGAACAAACAGGGTCGAAGATAACAGCTTGACTACGGGGCTTTCAAATATGGCGTTCTTATAGTTTATACAAAAATTCGGATTGGCTGTCAGGTAATGGAAGTTTTTTTTTCGGATTCAAAAGACGTTACTTAATCAACATATAAAACAGTTACTATTAAAAAATTCAGAATAGATAATTAATAAAAATATATTTTCATTTACGAAGGCAGCCAATTAACTTAAAAANCTACGGGGCTTTCAAATATGGCGTTCTTATAGTTTATACAAAAATTCGAATAAATAAATTGAAAATGACAACATATCTTAACAATATTTGTTTTACCTGTGGCCAATATTTGCATATTACACTGAAATTCACGCAATAACTGTTGTCACTCTTTTTTCGAACGAGTTTCACAAAGTCATCTTAGCGATATTATTTAGACTGTCAATTTACAAAGAACATATTTAAAGCCATTACATTAGATTGTACAAACCGGTAATTAATATTTGTATTACTTACAGTTCATATAGACATCAAAATTCACACGTTTTCAGTTGTAGCTTTTCGTTAAACCACTCTCGTGTACAGTTTTTGCAACGACACTATTTGATATACTAATTTACATATTTAAGTTAGCTGACCCTTGAACCAATTTCAGTATGTAATATAAAGTGGTGTATAAACAGGAATTATTATATTAATCTTAACTTAACTTATTACTTTACAATTATTTATATATTTATGAACATTAAACTTAGGTGATTTCCTTCTTAATTACAACCAATCAGCATCAACGTAGTTACAATATTTTTATCCAGTTCTCACTAATTTTAATGCTTAAATTTTTATTTATACAATTGTTATTTTTGTTTTTAATAATCTCGACGCTTTCTTTGAATTTTCTGTTATATATTTTGTTCTCTTCGTGTAGAATCTGTACGTTAGCTTTATCTATATTGCAGTCGTTTAGCACACAATGATCATGGAAAACAGAGTTCAATCGGTGGTACTTTAAATCTGACATATGTTCTTTTACTCTCAGTTTAAGTTTTCGTTTTGTTTCTCCTATATAAAAGCTGGTGTTTTTACAGGTACAAGGTATTTTATATACAATATTTTTCGTCTCTTCTTTATCTATTTTTTGTTTTTTAATACTCTGTTTGGCCTTTAGTCTGGAAAATAGATTTTCATACTTGGGAGCAAGTTTCATATTGTTTTTCTTCATTTCTGTATCTATTTGCTCATACATATTTTTTATGTAAGGGAAACCTATATATTTCAGTTTTGTTTTTCCATCGATTATTCTAATTTTTTTATCGTTTATTCCGGTAGCATTATCTATTATTTTTTGCCATTTATTAATTAATCTCATAGATATTCATTTATATTGAATTTTTCTTTAAAATTATTTATATGTTTATTTTTAATAATTTCGTTACTGGTTCTATTTTGTATTTTCGTATACTCCATATGAAAAACATTCTTTTTAATATACATAGGTATATTAGAGTTGTATCTTATTGTAGTTTCAATTGAACACGGTTTCTTGTAAGGTTCGAATTCAAGCTTGTTTTTTATCCTTGTAATTACTACATCAATATAGCGTATACTATTATGAACATTATTTTCTTCTTCTATTGTAAATTGTATTGTCGTGTCTATATTATTTATTATTTTTTCTATTTCCTTAATATTAATTTCTGTATTGTTGTATATAATTAAAACATCATCGACGTATCTTTTATAATATTTTATACCGGGTATATTTCTAATTCTTTCGTCTATTTCGATTATTACAATTTCTGCGAGTTTTGGTCCGATGACCGACCCCATACTAATACCATCCTCTTGTGTATAATATTTTCCTTCTAATTGAAAATAATTACTTTTATATGTAAATTCTAACAGTTCTATAATATCAGGTTCTACATTTATTTTCTTAAGTTGATTCTCTATGAGTTTCCATTTTATTGATGGATACATATCTGTCACATCCAGACTGGCTATTTTATATGTGTTTTCTATTATAACATGTTTGAGATCATCTAGAAGGTCATCTGTGTTTTTGATGGAGTATTTCGAGTTTTCGTAATCTTTGAGCTTTTGTTTCAAGAATTTTTCCAAGTTATATAATACGGCAAATTTAAAGTCTACTATTGGTCTTACATTTTCGTCTTTCTTATGGGTTTTAAGCTGTACATTTAATCTTGGCGTTCTATCATTATATCCTCATACAGGATAAAACCTTTTTCATTTTTGGTAATTTTTTTAAGTTTTTGTAATTTTGTAATTCTATTTTTTAATTCTCCATATATTATATCTTTACGGTTAATCGGTAGTTCTCTAAATTTATTTCCTTTTACTATTTCAAGTTTTCTTAACTTTATTCAAACTTGAGTCGCTACAATAACTTGTTTAGATTTATCTGCTCTTATAATATTTATCTTATTCTCATTTATGCAATTTTTCTATATCGTTTTTATGTTTATAATAATTTTTATCCTTTATCTTCATTTTTCCTTTTTCTTTTATAGCATATTTTTTTAATTATATTACTGAAGTTAATTTTTAGAATTTTTGAATCTACCTCTGTTAACTCATTGCACAGACGATTTAAATTTGGTACTATGTCTATTACTTCTCAATCATTAGGTCCATTAAAGTCCAAACCTTTTTGCATTGTCTCAAGGACATCATTAGGTATGTTAATTTGTGTTTTATTCAACACTAGAGATCTTTTCCATTACAATATATCTTCTATAGAAGGATAATTAAATTTTTAAACTAATTTTTTATGTTTGTTCATTTTATATTTATCAACATTATTTCTCTGTGAGTTCCTTGTTTAATCCCCTTTATCTTCAAAATTAACGTTCTTTTTCCTTTTGTTGTATTACATATCGCTAGATCTCTAGGGTACAGAGAAAATATGATAACAACATTGATCAGAAAATACAAAACAAACAAAACTAAAACGCAAAATGGCGATTTCAGCAAAATCACCAAGTTCATGTATGACAGAAAGAGAAAAGCCATCATGAAAGAAATCTCAGCCCGCAAAGAGTCCAGGTTAATTTTCAAGAAAGTTCCTAATCTGTACAAATTAGAAAAAAATGACAAAGACAGCATAGATAAAGAAAAAAACAGCAGGAGTATACAAGATTCCATATGAAAATCGTCAACTGGACATTAATAAAAATTATATTGGTATCACTAATATAAGTTTAAAAGTCAGATTAAAAGAACACAAATACAATATCAGCAAGGGGTCTAACGCCACAATACTATCGCAATTGGCGCAGGCTGAGGGCTCAATCGTCAAGTGAGACGAAGCAAGGATTATTAAACCAGTACATTCACCGACTTTGGCGATTTGCGCGGAAAAAATTGAAATATACAAGAGCAGATTCCATGATACATGCATTAATTCTAGGGATGCTGAAGGGTTGTTTTCCACCTGGAAGTACCTAATCAAACGATTGGACAGATCTTAATGCCTTGTTTTTAATTAATAATTTTTTAGCATATCTTGCGTTATATCTAATTTTGCATAATGTATTATTATATTACGTTTTTAATATTCTTCTGTTTTTGAAAATATTATTCATAAAAAAATTACTCGTTATGTAGATAAATATAACATTATGAATAGTAGACAGTATGGTTTCAGACAAGGAAGCCGTCAATGTAGTCTGAAAAAGTTGGCAGAATTCATTCTTCGTTCTAAGCCGTTGTGAATTGTTATCGGCAAGGGTATGTAGTTAGCGAATGATTCATATATTTGAATAATTTAAATTATAGAAATTGGTAGACTGCATGTGGTTTGCATCATATGTAACCAAAAGAAAACTGATAAAATTGGCGACTATTTGTCAAAGACCTAGTGTTTTTATTTAATAAATGTTTCAATGGCTATTTTGATTTTATAAGTTATTGTGCATTAGTTATGGACATTTAACTATACTAGTAAAAAATATACATGTCAAATAAGACTGTTTATGAAAATTTATTTGGAACTGTTTCAAAAATAGATTACGCTTTATATAACATTAATTATTAGAAACTACAGAACCGATAAAAGTTAAGAGATTTTATATTAAAACAAGTGTCGCAGCATTATGTTGAATAAATCATTATACTGCATGAATGTATCGAAGTGGTTAACATTAACAACTGAATTTAAATAAAAGAAAAATAACGAACCTAACCTAAACTAACCTAACCTAACCTTTTCAATTACTGCATTTTTTACCATTTTGAAATATCATAACCTTTGACTTGCGTGGATTTATCTTTAACAAATTCTGTTTACAATAGTTAGTAATTGGTTCATTTTGTTCTTGAAATGCCACTTTATTTGGAGGTTTTTACTCTTTTTTCCCCTTTGATCACTAAGAGAGATAAGAAAATAATTTAAAGATACAACGAAAGGATTTGGCAATCAACTTATTCATCTCGGATATCTACATTACTGTTTACTCGTGCACCATAGAAAATCAAGGAGCAGCTTGTAGTATAAATTACTTTTCATTTGGATAACTATGTTAATTTTCTATTGGCTATGAATATGCCTTAAAACCAAACTTATCATAACGACCACAAATGACTTTAAGGTGACTGTTTTATCATTTCATTTTTATTGACATATATAATCATCTCTCTTCATATATGGGTACATTATTATATAATAATTAATTTAAATAATCACCCTCAAAGTCATTATGATAAGTTTGGTTTTGAGACATATTAATAGTAAATAGCAAATTAAGGAGAAGCTTGCATTGTGATTTCAGTTGCCACTTCTTACTTCTACACCATGCATACATTTGCCTTTTGGTATCTCTGCTGTATTGTATAGAATATATCAGACTAATATTTTTTCATAATTGTGACATCTCATATCTTTGTAAATAAACTAGCTTTATTGTAATTATAAATCATTCTTTTCTCTTTATCTTAACTAGATAATAGTTTAAATTGTTAACTAATTAAAATACATATCCTGTTTTGCAAGCACCTTTTTAATTGTAATTAATAAATTATAGTTGTTTGTGTCATTACTTTTTTGTGATGTTTCAAATGCACAAAAAAATGAACCACTGTTATATGAGAGAAAATATATTAAACAGAAATAAATTAACTAAATAATTAGAAAATTTACTATAAAAATGTATAATATTTACTTAAAGTTTAGTTGTTTTTTTTTTTTTTTGTTTTACTCATGCACTAAGAGGGTCGTTTTTTTCATACCCATTGTGGGTTTGACTGAGCCTGCAGTGGAGTGACCATGTGACAAGGGATGAAACAATTACCTGGGGTGAAACAATTACCTAAACATTCCTGCAGTTTCTCCCACCAGACACTGTCCTGGATCCTCAGAGTGGTAGGTTGAGGTCATAATCACCTCCTGTTAAGCCTCAAACATCTATTTCATCAATGATTTCTATTTAAAACTGTTAAAATATATGAACTTTGGATTCGGACTTGATGAGTTTTAGATCAAGTATCAATCTCTGCTAACTCAGACTAATTGGAGGTGAAGGTTGTCCTGGTTAGAAGTATTTATTTTATTTACTATTAC